AGATGGGAAACGTCTAAACAAAGTAGCAAGTTGAATCCAGTGATCTAGGAAAAGAATGATACCTTGTGACCAAATGGGTTTATTACAAGAATTCAGCGAGCATTTAACATCTGGATACTGCTCAGATCTTCTCTATCCTCACTGATATTTGTCTGCTGTCCCATCAGTTACGGAGTTAATGTGTCAAAAATCCCCCACTGTGACGTGGACCCTCTTTCTCCTTTGATTGTGGTCAACTTTTATGTCATATAGCACACACATTTAGGCCTGTTACATTTCCTACAGAACTGACTCCTTCATCATTATGTGAGGTCCCTTGAGTAATAATTCTTCAGTTTACTTTGATATTAAGATTAAAGACTTCCTTTATGGGTTTCCTTGGTTTATCTTTATTTTTTAAGATTTTTTATTTATTCATTTGAGAGAGACAGCACGCGTGCGAGTGAGTGCACAAGCAGGGGCAGGGGGAGAGGGGGAAGCAGACTCCCCTCTGAGCAGGGAGCCTGACACGGGACTCGATCCCAGGACCCTGGGATCATGACCTGAGCCAAAGGCAGAGGCTTAACTGAGACACCCAGGCGCCCCTCCTTGGTTTATCTTATTTATCTTTTTGCTTTAACGCTTTTTGTGTTCTTATCTACGAATGACGTCACCTACACACAGTGAACATTTTTCAAAGCAGATTTTTTTCATCTTTTTTTGGAGTGTTTACTTCATGTATAATAATGGAAACAGCCAGGTGAAATCTACCATCCTAGTATTTGTTTTTTGTCCTTTATTCCTCCCTGCTTGCCTTATTTCAAATGAATCAAGTAGTGTTCCGTTTTTTTCTCTTCATAAGCCTTTGAGCTGTACTTTACTATTTTTGCCGTTATCCAGGTGACTTCGCGAAGAATGCCAGAAGCCTTCAACAGTCAAGCTCATCCGTCCCGGACCCTTTGTGCTGTTAGCATCTTGTGTTATGCTCTGGTTTCTGTTAAAAACCCCATAAGAAACTATAAATGTTGTTTTCAATGATCAAGATGCTTTCCCGTCACGCACACGGCCACTCCCGCGGTCGCCCGAGGGCTGGCTTCCGCACGTTCTCAGTCTGTGAGTGGACGACAGGGTCTCTACTCGGCCCCTCCGTGAAGAGCACCGTGGCAGTGGCCTCCCCGGCCCTTTGCTGAAGACTCTGTCATCAGTCTGGCTCCCCGGGAAGCGGTGTCTTCCTTCACTGGTTGCTTTTAAGACTTTTCTTTTTGTTGTTGGTTTCCAGTAGTTTGACAATCATGTGCCCAGATACTGTTTTCTGTTTGGTATTCATTCTGCTCTGGGTTTCCAGAGCTTCTTGAATCTATACGTTGGTGTCTCTCATCAGCTTCTGGAAACTGAACTGCTGTCTCCTTTGGGTGCTGATCCTGCCCCATTTCTGCCTCTCTCCTCTGGAAATCCAATTACACACGCATTACACACTTTCACCCTGTTTCGTGTGTCTCTTTGCTTTTTCCCCGTTCTTTTTTTAAGATTTTTATTTGACAAAGAGAGAGAGAGAACACAAGTAGGCAGAGCGACAGGCAGAGGGAGAGAGAGAAGCAGGCTCCTTGCTGAGCAGAGAGCCCGATGCGGGGCTCGATCCCAGGACCCCAGGATCATGACCTGAACCGAAGGCAGACGCTTCACCGACTGAGCCACCCAGGCGCCCCTCTTTTGCTTTTTCCCTACGAGCTTCAGCATAGACATTTTCCATGCTTCCAGTTCATGAACATCTGGATACTGGATACATAGGTCGTACCCAGACTGCTATTCGGCTATGCAATGAATTCTTAATTTCAGACATTGTATTTTCATATCCAGAATGCTCCTTGAACATGTCAGTACCGGGTATCTTCCCGTCTGCTTTCGCGGCTGGGACTTAGTCACGGGGCTCTGTTTTCGTGGGATGTGGAGCGTGGCAAGGACAGGCTGTGCCTCTTTCAAAGACAGTCAGGCTTTTGCTTCTTTGTTGCTGTTACTTCTCTGAACAGACAGATTTGGGAGGATTACCTTCACCCTGCAAAGCTTCACCTTAGCTATTGTTGGGGCTGCTCTAACTTGGTTTGGGTCTTACTCTGAGGGAGAGACTCTCACTTCAAGGTGTGACTCCCCCCACCCCCCGCAGGGTCTCCGCTGAAAGCCCACACTGTCTCCCTTGTTTCATTTTTTTACGTTTTATTTATTTACATAATCTGTACACCCAACATGGGGCTGGAACTCCCGACCCTGAGATGAAGAGTCGCACACTCCTTCAAGCCCCACCTGCACGGGTCAGTCTCCAGGGTGTGTGTGTGCGTGTGCGTTGGCCAGATTCTCAAATAGATTTTGCCTGGAGAGTAAGCCCAACACAAGCTGTCATGGTAGGAACTAGAAGCTCAGAAAGTTTTCTTCAAGTGTTTTCTTTAAAATAAATCAATGCCTTTTCCCTAGCACCTGAGTTCTGTGCAAGTGCAAGACCAACAATAATCAACACTAGATTATATATTTTAAGTTTGGGGTTTGTTTTTTGGGGGGGTTGGTAAACATGACACCCAACATGGGGCTTGAACTCACAACCCCAAGATCAAGAGTCACATGCTCCACCAATGGAGGCAGCCAGGCGCCCCCAGGTTATATATTTTAAATGCAATCTAAATTAGTAAGTTACTATCCCTACGTGAGTAGCAGTCTTCATTTCTGTGCACGCACACACACACGCACACGCATCCACAACACGCGACACCAGATCTCTGGCATCTCTCATTTCCTACCATGTGAACATGGTAGAGACACTGAAAGGCCCAAAGTGAACACAGATGTGGAGCATGTTTTGTGCCAGTAAATACACCCAAGTAAGAACCTTTTATTACTGAAATTCTCTGTGTTCGAGAGAGATTAATGTTACATATAGATAAGTTTTTTAAAAACCTCTTTAAAATCAATCATGAGCCACAACATTTCAATGAGAAATTCAACAAAATATAAGACATGAAATATCTATATACACTTCGCTGAAAATTCCATGTTAGATGGCTGTACAGTTTGAGGGAAATAATGTTAGATGTAAGAACAAAATCAGACAACTATCTAATCTAAAAATGTTTCTTGCGCCCCTTACCATTGGACCATCTACCACAACCTACTTCTTTCTTTTTTCTTTTTACAAACCTATTTCTTTCAGGTACTATGGAACCTGTCTGAAATGTTTTAATTGTTTTAAAATTTTAAAGATTTTTTTTAAAGATTTTATTTTATTTATTTGACAGAGAGATAGAGAGAGAGCACAAGTAAGCAGAGAGGCAGGCAGAGAGGGAGAAGCAGGCTCTCCGCTGAGCAGGGAGCCCGATGCGGGGCTCGATCCCAGGACCCCAGGATCATGACCCGAGCCGAAGGCAGCTGCTTAACCGACTGAGCCACCCAGGTGCCCCAAAATTTTAAAGATTTTTTAAAAATTTTAAGTAATCTCCATACCCAAAGTGGGGCTTGAACTCACAACCCTGACATCAAGAATTGCATACTCTTATCGACTAAGCCAGCCGGGTACCACGATTGTCTTAAAATTTTAACAAAAGCCTTTCAGTACAATAGCAGAGACAGACCGTCCACAGTGCAGGTGTCCTGGTGAGCCTCTGGCCCACACTGCATCCACCCCAGGGAAAAGTCAAGTGAGCAAATAAAAGGAAAAGCCCCCACAGGGCCTCTGTGTCCCCACCCAGTGAACTCAGAATGCAGATGTCTACACAGGGCACTTCTGCCACAGCATGTCCACACTTAGACATAAAATCTCTGAGACCTCACAGCTCAAAGATCCCATCATGACCATTCAAAAGGCAAAGGGGGACATAAAGCCACGAGGCACTGGATCTCTTGGAAGGGTGACCTGCATCGACTGGTCTTTTAACCCTTTGACAACAATACTCTAAGCCTCTCTGAAAACCTGGCTTTTCCGTCTTTGGAACTTGCTTAATAATGGTAAAACCTGCAGCAAGTGGGCACGGCAGGAGCAGCAGAGACTGCTCCTGGACCAGCCCCAGGCACAGCCACGGTCAGGGCGCGGCCTGGAGAGGGTGGGGGGCTGTCAGACTCATGGAGAAGGTCCTCTCTCCTGGAAACCAACCCACATCTGCCTCTGGTGATTCCAGAACCTGGAATGGGGCCGCCTGCTTCCTTCCAGGGAGACCACGTGCTGCTTGGCAAACGTGAGCCTCTGGGCCCCGGATTGCCCACCACATCCACAGCCACCTGCTCTGTGTACATAAGAGCACATGGAGCCTAATACATCCAATGAAGGTGGACAATAGCAAACACAAGGTGCTCTTTCTGAAAAGAAGCACAGCTTCAGTAATTCTCCACCAACGGCTGTCTCCTTGGAGAGAAATGCCCTACGACACATGTATCAAGAACACAGCGGCTAGGCTTTGTCCTTCGATTTTTCCAGATAGTATGGGGTCGGAGCTACTAGGTTCCTTTTTCCAGGGATGGGGGCCTGCTTTTCTGCCCCCCCAGTTGGGCCATCCTACATGATTCCAGTGAACCCAAGCCCTTGCCGGGAGGCTGGAGGCACACCAGCTCCACCTGCCCCACCTGAGAGGCCTCTGCCTGGCTGCCGGGGGAGGAGCCAAGAAGTACCAGCTTTAAAGTCCCACACTGACACCTAGTCCCATTCCCCACGGCTGTCCCCATCCTGACGTGGTTTTGCCATCGCCCAGTGGCCACCAAACCTGAACACCAGGCCTGGCCGCAGCTGAGAGGCACGTGGGAATGTCTGCTCCTGTGCAGCCAAAGGTGTCTGGTCAAGCCTTTCCAGCCTCGAAGCTATATCATACGCAGCAGAGGCATCTGTGTCCATAGGGTGCTTCCCTCGTGGCTCCTTGGCTGACTTCATGGTAAGGCTGTCGGAGCTCTGGGTGAGCCCATCGGGCCTGGGGAGGGGCACTGGCCACACAGCGTGCTGGAAGAAGGCCCCAGGCATCCCGGGCAGGCCTGCGGCCCCCACAGAGACCCACCCAGGCGCCAGCTGGGGCCAACTCCAGAGGAGGCCTCGCTGCCGAGCCCAGGGCTCCAGGTGTCAAGGGGCATCGATCTAGAACAAGAGAGACAAGTTACAGGTGTTCAGGATGTGATGACACCACCTTGTGCCAGGCCCCTGCCCTGTCACCATAAGGACAACTCTCCCATGTCTGGGAAGGAAGGCTCCTATTAATTCTCAATCGATGGACACTCAAAGGAAAAATCCTTGTTAGCAGAACACAACGTCTCCCAGCAAAACCACCTTGTTGGAAAAGACCACGTAGGCATCATTTAGTTAATGTCAAAGTCCAAAATATGTGATTAAGTTCTTCTTAAAGATTTCTTTTTCTTCAGGGAGACAGACAAACCTAACAGAACTTTCTTTTATAAACAACCCCTCTGTGGTTGGCTCCATAACTCAGGGGTTAGAGCACTGGTCTTGTATAAACAACCCCTCTGCCCCGAGGAACAGGAAGGAGAGCCTGTTCTCCGTGACCTTCCTGGGGTCCCAGAGGCCCCCGAGTCCGTGATGGTCATGCAACCACTCAGCACTGCCCACAAAGCCGCCTCAAGACCAGCCAGCGCCGGCGACTTTAACCTGCTGCTCTCTGAGCCAAATGTCTTTCCGAGAGGGAGAAAAATTCCTCAGAGAAATCTCTTAACTTAAATATAAAAGAGCACTTGTATTTAAATGTATTTAAATATATGTTTATATTCTATAAACATAGAAAATGAGAAGCACAGCAGAGGGAATACAGTCAACGGTGTGCGGTGACAGATGGCAGGTGCACTGCGGTGGGCACAGCCGTCACCTGAAAATAATGTAACACATATGTATACACATGTGTACACATCACCAACTTAACTCTACATGACTGAGTATATAACAGTTACTACTGCAGAAGCTGGGTGTTCCCTCACTGAGCGTAGCTGAGCGTGGAGAAGAGACAGTATGCACAACGGCTTCTGGTACAGAAACTCATTATGAGCCCCGGAGCACGCGCCAGGGCCGCACCTGAGTGCAAGCGGAGTTTAGGGCACGTGCGTGATGGACGCGCAGCTGCTCCGGGCTGCCCGGGACGTGGCGGCCACTCTCATGTCTTACCTGGGCTGGGGGGGCAGTGCTGTCCTGGGCTCGGTCTGGCCATTCACCAGAGCGGGCATCCCGGGCTCTGAGTGGAGGGTGGAAGGGCCAGAGGGAGGGGCTTCTGCTCTGCGATCAGCATCCCCCCAAGAGTGACTCAGGCTGGTGCCAGGCCCTGGGAACACAGGAAACGAGTCTCACCCACGTGAAGGAACACCAGCTGGTGGGCTTGCTTCAGAGTTCCAGAAGCGCAGTGCCTGGTCTTCCTGCTGTGAGCGGAGCATGGCTGTGTGACAAAGCCTGGGTCTTGCTGGAGGTGGGCGCTTGGGTATTTTTATCAGCTCGCCACCCCCAAACAGCAGGGATCTCCGCATGTGACTTGTTTGGGGTGAGGGTCTCTCTCCCAGAAGCAAAATGTTTACGACAGAGGATTCTAGCACAGAAAGTCAGGACACGTTGTGAGAACACGGAGCACGTGCATGCCTGTGGCCTTGAGAAACGATCTTCTGGAAAACACTCCAAGGTGTGTCGAGCTGGCTATTTATCTAAAAGTGTAGTGACATCGTCCAATGCCCTTTTGCAGGAAATTGTTTGAAATTCCAGTGTCGATCCAGAACCAAGAAAAGGTCCTTAATTCATTTTTCACACACGATAAGAAACCATCTTTAAACCATAATCAGAATAGACACCAGCTTGGCGGTTTCCCGCAAAGTGCTCCTGGACGTCTGGGCCAGCCTGCAGACACAAGGGTCAGGAAGGAACGGCACGGCCCGGTGGCTCCCCGTGGTCCCATTCGGAGAGCCCCTGCCACTGGTCCCCCAGGATCTTTCGAGCGTCCCCTCCCTTCAAGAGTGGGAGGGAACTTGGCACATCCTTCTACTCAGACAGGACAGCACCAGCTGTGACTCTTAGGGGGAGATCCTCAACTTTTTCAAAGGTAGTATCTACAGGTCAAACAGCGACAATAATCAGGGATGATGCTTTTCAGGCCGCAGTTACCTCGGATGTTGGAAGGATGTGGCAGCTTTATGAGACACTCACCCTCCCGGACCCACAGTGAGCCGGCTTCCTTCCCTTCCGTTTGTTCCCGGGAAATCAAGCAGTGACCCATGTGCGTGAGGCATTTTTCGAGGGTCCGAGGAGGCGAGGTGCATGTCAAGGCCCCACTCAGATCCATGCACGTTCACAAATACAACTTGTAAAACCACGTGTTAAGCCACAGTCAATGCTTTTCACGGCTTCTGTTCAGTGAACAGTGACTATGAACAGGTAGGGTGCTCGCCTACCACTGAAAACGTAATAAACGTAAGAGAATCAAGTTAAGCTAAATCAAAATAAAAACTACAAAAGGGTCTTTAATCAGTTAAAGACCATGAGTCTAGAAAGAAACCATCTGCTGACTCCAGCAGCCACACCAATGTGATTAGACCCATCAGAACTTCCTAGAAGGTTCCAGACTGTCCGAAAAGGTGAGTGTTGGCTGCTCTTCACGGCTTGAGCACTGCCTGCACATTTAATGGTCCCCTGATTTTAAACACCTGCAACTATCATCCCTTTATTTCACAAAACTAGCAGACCACGCTTATGCCCCACAGTGCTTCCTCCTCGGGAAGACCAGGCAGGATCGCGACCGGCCTCGGGAGCCCCCCCACAGCACATCCTGTGCCAGAGCTGCTTCCCGCTAAACATCACACCTTCCCCTCACTTCTCCGATGACGAGCCTATGTCTGCTGGGATGTGGACCCAATTTTGGGCACTCTGAAAATCATAATAAAACGTCCACTGTTAACCAGCTCAAGGAGCCTGGAGCTGGGCGACCAAGTGCAGCGGTCTGGCGCTCCCCACCTTCACTCCAGGGTCTGAGGATGCCCGGCACCACCGCACAGGCCCCACCTCCCTTCCGAGCCACCTGTGGAGGGAGCACAGAGGCCCCTATGCCCGCCTGAGCGGAACCGGGGTGTCCGCCCTCAGTGGGACGCACAGTGGCCTTGTTCTGCTTTGCTCTCAGTGTGCCTCTTTGGATGTGCTGTTAAGTCCCTTACGCACACAATCTCTTGCTCAGCCACCACGCGGGGACCTGGGGGCTCTGGCGAGCCGGTGGTGGAGCATGAGGAGGACGGTCCCCGTCCTGACAAAGCAGGAGAGCCCTCGGTGGGGAGCGAGGCGAGAAACACGTGACCAAGTCGCCGGAGCCACACCGCGTTCAACTGGACAGAAAACTTGGGTCCTGCCAATGAGGGCGCATCTAGAAACCAGCAGCGATGCCGGAAAGGCGGCCAACGTGGGCTTCCTGACACTCCGCCGCGAGCACTTAAGAGAAACTGTGCCTGTAAACTGGGCAGCACGGAGCAGACAGACGGACGGACACACACGGAGTCGTGGGGTCGCTCCGGCTCCCTCTCGTGATCTCAAGATACATAGCAGTGGCTCAGGCCACCCAGCTAATGCAGGTACCCTCCACAGGGACAAACACCTCCAACGCAGGTGACCAGACAGGTTGCCACAACCACGTCCTAACCACAGGATGGCCGCTCAGCCTCTGTCCGATTCTGCGAGGCCACCTGCCAGGGACGGGACGGGGGCGCGGCAGCTGACCACAACGTTCTGGGAAACAAAGTTTTTATTTGGATGTTTTCATTCCTCATTTTAGTACATACCTGGAAACAGACAGACTTTACTTAAGATGTCAGAAAATAATGTTTTTTAAAATAACCCATTTTCCCACCAAGGTCTCTGGCCCCTCTGCCTCTGGTAGGTTCTTACAAGAAAAATAGGAAATTTAGAATATTAAAAGCAAGGAGATTAAAACATAACAGAACAGAAATAACAAAATACCAAAACCCACCGTGTGACTTCACCCAGAATTAGTCACAGATGTACCAAAACTAAATGGAGGACTTCACAAACTGTGAAGAGCAGAGTCTGACAATCATGCGTGTGTCCAGAGCACGCCCGGGGCAGGTGCTGCTGCCTCACTCCAGCGTCAAGAGGTATTAATACAGGGTCCGGTGACCCACACGCAAAGACGAAGCTCGGGGAGAAAAGCCCACCAGGAGATGCAATCCTGTGAGACCTGCTGCAAGAGGGTCTGGGGCCCAGGAAGGGGCGGGGTCCAGACAGAGGGGCCCAGCGTGGGTGGCCGCTGGTGCTGCACCAGGAGCAGGGTCCAGACCCGGTCTAGTGTAGTTCCCAGCAGAGATGCACTAAAGGCCTTTTGGACCAGCCCACACTAGAGGCAAAGACTGGCAGGAAGACAAGTGAAAAGCGTCGAGAATCACCCCTCATTCCAATGTCACCCCTGATGGCAGAGGTGGGCACTGGTCTGGCCCGCCCACAGCCCAAGATGTGTGGCACTCACACGTGCATTAGGAGTGTTACAGGGGGACCGAACAAGTGTGCCCCCACCTCTCCACACAGCCACAGGTTCCCAACTGCATCCCCACGGGCTCCTTCCACGAGATGCGCAAACTTGCCCAGTCGACCCCCCAGTGCCCTGGGATGGCACAGGCCCAACGGCAGGCGGGGCGGGACCAACATTTGGGAGCATGCGTTCGAAGGTTCACAGACGCTACTTTGTCTTAAACTCCCTACAGTTGTGTGATGAATTTTTCAGATGGGGCAATGAGGCCTAAACATGTCTTTGAAAGCGTGCCCAAAGCCAAGCAGCCTGTCCACAAGGTATTCAGCGTAGGGTCTGACTTCACAGCCAAGCCCCATGAACTGAGCACGGCGTCCAGGCTGCTCGGACGGTGGCCTGGGCTCTTGATGACGTGCCAGGAAATGAAGAAACAGAAGCATTGCTCCCACTTGCATCTTTATTAGCCGTAAGCAAATTTCATCGCTCCAACACAGAAACTTAGGGTATTTTAGCACTCATGAAAACAAACTTGTAAAAATACTGGCTTTTTAAAATTAGAGTAAAAATGAAAACAAAGATGCACTTCCCAAATCCCCAACACAGGAGTCGGCTTCCCTTCCTCCAGTGGTAATCAGGAAGCCACTGTGTCCACACTGACTGCCACTCAGGCCCCAACCACACGCTCACACCTGCGGGCCCCCTCTGCACTCGGGGCCTCCCGTTTTGGGGTTTGCCCCCCGCACCTTGTTCCCTCTGGCACCCATAGTGAGCACCAACCAAACACAGCGCGTTTCTCCTCGGATGGCCAGAGACACCGTCCGGGCGGCCGCCACAGTCCATGAGCGTCCCCAGAATGGATCTTCAGAGCTCCTGGCTCGCTCTCGGGCTGCACCCTGCGGGCTCACAGGCCGTTAGAGGAGAAAGTCAAATGCCCTGTGTCTTGTTGGGGGAAGAAAGTCCCAGGAGAGCCTGCTGCTTGGCAGCTTGGCTGTACCTCTGCTTCTCAGGTTAGTCTGTCATTTGCTCCCGAACAACTGGAATTTGGCTGGAGACACTTAAGAAGTAAACAACATCCAATTCCTTTAAAAACACTGGCGTGTAAGCGGCATTATCTAGCGGAAACAAAGCAAGGATGTGCGCACGTCGCTCCCCACTGCGAGTGAATGGGCACAAAGGCGGGCCGAGGGCCAGCAGAGGGAGCCCGAGCCTGTCGCTTTGCACAGAGGCCGCCATCCCGGTCCCCCTTCCCGACTCACACACGGCTCCCGTTTAGAGGCCCCGCACTTCTAAGATTGACAAGATTTTTGGTTCAGATACTTCGATTTCAGTGTGAAACGTTCGAACAAGCACTTGCTGTTGCCCTAACCACCACACATCAACACATCAACCACCGCTCCTCCACGGCCCCTGCAGCCGCACACCCCACCGCACCTTTCCCGCAGACGCGCTCCCCCCCCCCCCACCGCCTCATCTCCTTCCAAAGCACTTACGGGACAGGGAGTGGGTGCCTTTGGGCAGGTAGTCCAGCAGCAGGGAGCTGTCGTCCCGGAGCATGTCGGCCTTGAGGGACAGCAGGCTGTTCTTACTCAGGAGCGCTGCCCGCAGGTTGGCCACGGCGGTGGCCTGGTGCAGGGCCTCCTCCTTCTCTGGGGTCAAGGGCGGGCCCAGGTAGCTGGCTTCTCCTCCCAGGAGACCCTCGTCCACGTGGCCAAAGAGCTCAGCCCTCTCCCCGCGGCTGTCAGAGCTACTGGCTTCGGTCACCGTCAAGTCCGCATCTGGGAGAGGAAACACACGCAGGTCATTTTAAGACTCTCCAAGTGGGAGGCGGGCAAATTTAGGAGAAGCCGAGGTGAGGAGCTTCCTGACCACCCAGCGGCTTGTTGTAAAATCCAGTCCCATCCTGCCAGCCGACGTCCCTCCCCTGCCCCGGGATAGTGGTGAAGTCTCAGCCAAGGCCTCCGGTGGGGGCTCCACTCAGAACAGCTGGGGGGCACCCCCTCCCAGGGTAAGAGGACGGAGACCCGCTCGAATCTCCGCTCTGGGGCTGAGAGCCAAAGGCCCCTGCATGCCTGCGGGACTTCCATCTCTCAAAGAAGATGTAACTCAAAGTGGACCAACAACCAAAGAGAAGAGCTAAAACTACAAAACTCAGAAAAATCTCACTCTCGGCTTGGGCAACGGGTTCTCAGACAGGACACCAAAAGCACAAGCAATGAGACACATAAACTAGGCTTTGTCAAAATTAAAACCTTTGGGGCGCCGGGTGGCTCAGGTGGTTGGGCGACGGCCTTCAGCTCGGGTCACGATCCTGGAGTCTCGGGACCGAGTCCCGCATCGGGCTCCCTGCTCGGCGGGGAGTCTGCTTCTCCCTCTGACCCTCCCCCTCTCATGCTCTCTCTCTACCACTATCTCTCTCAATAAATAATAAAAATCTTTATAAAAAATTAAAAAACTTTTATGCCTCAAAGGACACTCTGAAGGGGAGAAAAAGATAGGGCGCCTGGCCGGCTCATTCGTGGAGCGTGTGACACGTGACCTCAGGGTCGTGAGTTCGAGCCCCACACTGGGCGTGCAGCCTACTTAAAATGAAAGGGAGAAAAGCAAGGAAGGAAGGGAGGAAGGAAGGAAGGGAGGAAAGGGAGACAAAAGACGGCCCATGAAAATATCCACAAATCATACATCTGATATGAGAGCCTATTCAGAATATATAAAGAAGGCTTACAACTTGGTAAAAAGAAAAAGAACCCATTTTTAAAATGGGCAAAGGACCTGAGCAGATATTCATCAAAGAAGACACATAAATGACCAGTGAGCAATGTCCAACACCATCGGTCATCAGGGACACGCACCTCGAAACCACAACGAGAGGCCACTTCACACCCACCAGAGCGGCTAGAATCCGTCAGACCAGTCAGATGGTCACAAGGGCTGATAAGGATGTAAAGACACTGGAACCTCCTCCACTGCTGGTCAGAACGTCCAGGGGTGCAGCCGCTGGGGGACAGTGTGACAGCTCCTCGAGAGACCACACAGAGTTACCACCAGCCCCCTCGGAGGGGTTCGTACCCAAGAGTAGTGAAGACACACAAGCTCCCAGCAACACTATTCATAACAGAAAGAGGAACAAGCCCAATGTTGGGGGATGGCGGGCAAGCAAGACGGTCCATCCTCACGGTGGACTCTTGCTCGGCCGTGAAAAGGAGTAAAGTGAGAACTCGCTACCACGTGGATGGAGCCCAGAAGCCAAGGCAGTTCATGCAAAGCCTGCTAACCTTCCAAATCCTGATGAATTCCACGAGGAAGGTCACAGACGGACGTCCAAGCAACGCTGTGCCTCCCTCACACAACCACCCTACGAATCCGGGTCCTGGCAAGGGTGCCCTAACCCCCAGGCCAAGCCTTGTATGTGTGGGGAGGTTCTGGAATCAACGGCATGTCCAGGAGGCTGCTGTCTCCAGTATCTCCTAGGACTCAAGCTACGTTGTTTACAAAAAGCTTGAGAGGACACCAAGCGTCCAATCTCATGTCTGAAAAATGAGTTGAGTTCCAAAAATTCATTTGTAAGTTGTCACATAGGGTGTCGACCGCACACGTGTGTACACACACACCCTTGCTCATATACGCACGTGCACACACGCATGTGCTTCCTCTGGACAGGTACTAGCAATGGCTAGCGCTGGTTCCAGGGAGACAGGAAGACCCTGCCCCCGAGAGAAAGGGACAGCACGTGGGAGCAGCCACTGGGCAGACACATCACACACATATGTGGCAGCAAGAAATGACCACACGCCAACTGCATGGGCACGGAAAGGCACTCAGGCTTATTTCCTGATGCTGACCTCATTTTAATAAATGAAGCAAACAGGATTAAAAATACCAACATCTAATTGTCAAAGGCGATGAGTTAAATGTAAAGGTTTTATTCTAGAGGGGAATACACTGTTTTTTCTCACTTCCTATAAATGATACATCATAGCATTTTAAAAATTTAGCTCACAAAAAAAAAGAAAAGAAAATTTAGCTCACAATCTTTAGCTGGAAAGCAGAAAAGAGATTATAATTAAAATAAGCAGAATTTTTATTTTTTTAAGATTTTATTTATTTATTTGACAGAGAGACACAGCAAGAGAGGGAACACAAGCAGGGGGCAGAGGCAGAGGGAAAAGCAGACTCTTCGCTGAGCAGGGAGCCCAATGCAGGACTCGATCCCAGGACCCTGAGATCATGACCTGAGCCAAAGGCAGACACTTAACCAACTGAGCCACCCAGGCGCCCCTAAAATAAGCAGAATTTTTAAACAATCAAACTAGATCAGGCAGCGTTGGTCCTAAAGTGGGGTAAGAGCAGATTCAGAACAGGAAAGATGTGCTCCAGCCACGTGGGCTCCAGGGCCTGGGGGACGGGGCTGTCGTGGAGGGAGGAGGCCAGGAGGGGCGAGGAGGGCAGGGAGGGAGGGGCGCTGACCTCACAACCAGGGTGTCCTGGGGAGCACCCCATTTCTCACGTTTCCCCAAATCTCCACTCTTCACGATTCTTTAAAGTGCTCATGAGGTGCATTTGAGAACGTCTGCACAGATGTCACAGCCCGACCCTGCTCAGCCCACTGCCTCGCTCACCAAACAGGCGCCCAGTGTGTGCACTGTGCAAACAACACACAGAAGCTTCTGGAGTGAGTGTCCCTGCCCCCACCCAGGTGCTTACAGCCCAAATCAGACTCAAATAGGGCACAGTACAATTCAAAAAGATTAAGTATGCATTTCACCCAACATTTACGTTCTCACTTTATGTGTCCAAAATGTATTCTCTATTTCTAAAATGTCACCTTTTGGGGCGCCTGGGTGGCTCAGATGGTTAAGCATCTGCCTTCGGCTCAAGTCATGATCCCCGGGTCCTGGGATCGAGTCCCGCATCGGGCTCCCTGCTCCTTGGGAGCCTGCTTCTCCCTCTGCTTCTCTCTCTCTCTCTCTCTCTCATGAATAAATAAATAAAATCTTAAAAAAATAAAATGTCACCTTTCTTTATGCAAATTCAAATCAAGTTACCTCATTTTCTTAACTTTCAAAAAGTTTTCACATCATTCCATAAATCCTCCTTACTTGAAATATATATATAACTGAATAAATATATAATTGAATCAATTATTTTGCTAACTATATAGTCAGCAAGGTGATTCAATGGGTAAAAGTCCGGTTTGGGGCAAATAGTACTGGAACAACTAGACATCTATATACAGAAATCAATGTGAACCACAGACCAATACGTCACACCCAAATCTGTTAAGCTTCCAGGAAAAACACAGGGGGGAATGTTTGTGACCTTCGGCAAAGATTTCTGTGATAGGATTCAAAACGTAGGAGCCTCAAAAGAAAAGAGTTCGCAAATCAGGCTCCATCAAGATTTACAAGGTATGCTCCTCCAAAAACAATGTTAAATGAAAACGTGAAGCAAAGACAGAAAATGTTTGCAAGACACACACCTGCTGAGGTGTGATCAGAATATGCCGGGAACTCTCAACTCAGCCCAGAGAAACGGGCTCAAGACGTGAACAGGCACTTTCGGGAAGCAGAGCGTGAAGAGGGGCTCGTCACGGCCAACATTTCTAACCCGACAGCACAAGCCACCCGGTCAGACCCTGATGAAGAAAGCCGTGTGAAAGACTAACGCACACACGGGAAGAAGACCAACAACACGGTCCATCAAAGAAATGCAAGATGCACACAGGAGACGCCACTGCACGCCCCCCAGAGCGCTTAGAAATGGGAAAGGGAACAGTATGAACTGTTGACGATGATGTGAAGCAAAGGGGACTTCGAACGAAGCCAGCATGAGCCTAGGGTCCCAGCAGTCACAGCCCCGGGAGTTCACCTGAGAGGAATCAAAACTCACATGTGCACAAAGACATCCCAGCACATCCCAGTGGCATGTTCACAGCGCCGGAAACCACCCGAAAAACCGCAAACAGGTGAAGGAGTCAACACAGCGTGTTACAACCAGAGAACAGAACATAAGCTGGAAATAGGATTTAGTGATGCACACGACAATGCAGACAAACCTCAAAAGCATGTTGAAAATCACAGAAACGCAGGCAGATTAGCAGCTGCCAAAGGGGGGGTAGCGACCCCGGGGTCCTCGGCGGCCGCTCTGGTGGGGGCTGAGGTCCGTGGACCGTGTCAACGTCCAGATACGGGTGGTGGCAGTGACGGTGTTCTGCAAGACGTCAGCTTTGGGGAAACGGCCTCAGGGGACACAGGACCCCTCCGTGTTATTTCTTACAGCTCATCATTCATCTACAATAACCTCAAAATGGAAAAACAAGAGTTAAATAAAATAAGCCAGACAGGAGAGCACGCACTGCAGTTCCAGGCCACGCTGGGGACAGGAGTCGGGAATGGCCCGGGTGGGTGGGGAGTGAGCAGAAAGGACGGGAGGGGCCACTCCAGGCAAGGGAAGTGTTCTCTCTCCCAACACAGAGGTGTATGCATTTGTCAAAGCTCACCAAACTCACCCACTAGGCTGGTTCAGATTAAAAAGACAACAGGCAAAGCTGTGGAGGATGGGGAGCAACCAAAATTCCTCACACTATGGCAGGGGGGTGCAGACGCTCAGGAAAACGTCTGGCAGTTCCTTATAAAACTAAAGTCACCCCTTCCCTGTGACCCAGCCACTGCATTCCTAGGTATTTGCTCAAGAGAAATGAAAACATACATCCACAAAATAGGCTTGCCAAAAATGCTCACAGAAGTCTTATTCATAATAGCAAAAATTGGCTCCTGCCCACATGGCAGTTGACAAGAATCTGGATAAACACCCGGCAGCGTATTCGGGCCCAGGGACATTAGGCAGAGCCCAGCAGGTGTGGACTACGGGAGACGCGGCCACGCACACGCCCCGTGGCCGGGCACGCGCCATGTGGTTTCATCCAGAGGAAGCGCTAGGACAGCAGAGAAGAGCTGTGGCAGAAGGAGTCGGGTTCGCTGCTGCTGGGGAGGGGGTACTCTGCTCCTCGCGTGGGACGTAGGGACACACACGGATCAAGACGCATCGAGAGGCACACCGGGGAATGGTGCGTGCCAGGAGTCAAAGTGACCTTAAAAATGGAAACACAGGCTGAACTCTGATGAAATGCTCGTTGGAGGGTTTTGGGATGAAGTATAGGGACATCTGCCAGGTGCTCTGAGATGCACTGAAAAATGAAATGGGTTTTCGATGATTAGATGGATAAGCATGTAATAAAGCAAACGTAGCAAGATGTTAAGTGGAGAATCTAGGCAACAGAAGTGCTCGTTTTTTTTTTCAACTTCTAAGTGTAAATATTTCCCCAATAAAATGTTAGGGAGAGAAACAAAAAATTATTCAAATTCGAAATTTGTGCAGTTTACTGTATACTCCAAGAAATAGGAAGAAAGATGGCAATCTTCACCAAAAAACTTCCTTGGGGCCGCTGGGTGGCTCAGCCGGTTGAGCATCTTTTTTTTTTTTTTTTAAGATTTTATTTGTTTGAGCGAGAGAGACACAAGTAGGGGGAGCGGCAGAGGGAGAAGCAGGCTTCCCGCGGAGCAGGGAGCCCGATGCGGGACTCGACCCCAGGACCTTGGGATCATGACCTGAGCCGAAGGCAGACGCTCAATGACTGAGCCACCCAGGCGCCCCAGAGCATCTGACTCTTGATTTCGGCTCAGAAAGAAATTTCGCAGGTGCGATGGAGTTAGGAACCCTGAGGTGGGAAGATTATCCGGGTGGGTTACTGTCAACACAGGGGTCCTTCTAAGCGAAAGAGGGAGGCAGGAGGGCCGAGCAACGCGGGGCCAGGAGCCAAGGAAGGCTGTGCTTCTAGAAGCTGAAGAAAGCCAAGGAACGTTCTCCTCTGGAGGCTCCAGAAGGAACTGCCACCCCACTTCAGACTCCTGACATCTGTAAAATAATACGGTTGTGCTACTTTAAGCTGCTAGGTTCGTGGTAATTTCTCACAGCAGCTGGAGGGAACGGATGCACCCCCTAGAAACACCTCCAGAA